GGTCGTGCGCGGGTCGTGCGCGGGTCGTGCGTGGGTCGTGCGTGGGTCGCGCGCGGGTCGCGCGCGGGTCGCGCGCGGGGCGTGCGCGGGGCGTACGCGGGTCGTGCGCGGGTCGTGCGCGGGTCGTGTGCGGGTCGTGTGCGGGTCGTGTGCGTCGTGTGCGTCGTGCGCGTGTCGTGTGTCGTGTGCGGGTCGTGCGCGGGTCGTGTGCGGGTCGTGTGCGGGTCGTATGCGGGTCGTGTGCGGGTCGTGTGCGGGTCGTGCGCGGGTCGTGCGCGGGTCATGTGCGGGTCGTGCGCGGGTCGTGTGCGGGTGGTGTGCGGGTCGTGTGCGGGTCGTGTGCGGGTCGTGTGGGTTTCGCGCGGGCGGGTTTGGGTGTGTGGGTCGTGTGCGGGTCGTGTGCGGGTCGAGTGCGGGTCGAGTGCGGGTCGTGCGCGGGTCGTGTGCGGGTCGTGTGCGGGTCGTGTGCGGGTCGTGTGCGGGTCGTGTGCGGGTCGTGTGCGGGTCGTGTGCGGGTCGTGTGCGGGGGTGCGCGTGGGTACGCGTGGGTGCGCGTGGGTGCACGCGGGTGCGCGCGGGTGCGCGCAGGTGCGCGCGGGTGGGTGTGGGTGGGTGTGGATGTGTGTGGGTGGATGTGTGTGTGTGTGGGTGTGGGTGTGGGTGTGGGTGTAGGTGTGGGTGTGGGTGTGGGTGTGGGTGTGTGTGTGGGGGTGTGTGTGTGGATGTGTGTGTGTGTGGGTGTGGGTGGGTGTGGGTGGGTGTGTGTACGTGTGTACGTGTGTACGTGTGTACGTGTGTACGTGTGTACGTGTGTACGTGTGTACGTGTGTACGTGTGTACGTGTGCGCGTGTGTACGTGTGTATGTGTGTATGTGTGTATGTGTGTATGTGTGTATGTGTGTACGTGCGTGTGTGTGTGTGTGTGTGTGTGTGTGCATGTTTGTATGTGTATGTGTGTGTGTGTGTTGTGTTGTGGTGTGCGTTGCGTTGTGTTGTGTGTTGTGTTGTGTTGTGTGTTGCGTTGTGTTGTGTTGTGTTGTGTGTTGTGTTGTGTTGTGTTGCGTTGTGTTGTGTTGTGTTGCATTGCGTTGTGTTGCGTTGTGTGTGTGTGCGCGTGTATCTGTGTGTGTGTATCTGTGCGTGTGTGTATCTGTGCGTGTGTGCATCTGTGTGTGTATCTGTATGTGTATTTTTGTGTGTATCTGTGTGCGTTGATTTGTGTGTGTATCTGTGTGTCTGTGTGTGTGTGTTTGTCTGTGTGTCTGTGTGTATCTGCGTATCTGTGTGTGTGTGTGTCTGTGTGTGTATCTGCGTATCTGTGTGTGTGTCTGTGTGTAGCTGCGTGTCCGCGTGTGTGTGTGTATCTGTGTGTATCTGTGTGTATCTGTGTGTATCTGTGTGTGTGTGTATCTGTGTGTATCTGTGTATCTGTGTGTCTGTGTCCGTGCCTGTGTTTGTGTCTGTGTCTGTCTGTCTGTGTCTGTCTGTGTCTGTCTGTCTGTGTCTGTCTGTGTCTGTGTCTGTGCCTGTGCCTGTGTCCGTGTCTGTGTCTGTATCTGCGTCTGTGTGTGTGACAATCATGGATGTCCAAAAGTAGGCGGAATCCAAAACGATTGGACCAATTCACAAATGCCTCACAAACCGGTGAATCGAATGTACTTTTCCGGTCATAAATCAAGAAGAGAGTGATGCTCTTGCGACGCAGGGAATTCGAAATAACCTGTCCAACCCTCGCACTGCGCCATCTGTTCAAGACATGCTGGATTGGATCACGCCATGCCGCGGTTCTTCGCTCGACTACGCGAGAGGGCTGGGTGCCCACCGCAGAGAGCCTGATCACCTCTAAGGGGCAAAAAGACCCTCCTTCAGGCTGATCTTCCTGCCTCCCTGATGCTATAGGCCGGTTGGCTCATTTCACTTCTTTGGCAAAACCGGTCCAAAAGCTCCGAGTCACCAATCTCGCAGTTCGCACTCCCCTTCTCAAATGCCCAGCCAGCCGTGCTCGCCAAGAACAGTCACATAGCGTTTGCTAGGCTGTTGCGAGCTGCAGTTTCCAGGGGGTCTTACCCCTGTCCCACTGCTTGTCAAAACTCACATCCAAGCGCATAGGCCTTCAAGCAGCTTGGCCACCAGAAGGCATCCGAAATGCGAGCCAATTGCAGCTGCAAGCTGGGAAAACAGGTTCATTGCCACTGATTGCTTCATCGCCTGAATGCTTGTACTTGGTTGCTTTGACCCAGCCGCATTACATTTCAAATGCCGATTTATACAGCGCCCTTTGCTCGATTGTCGAGCAAAGTATGCAGCCGATAAAATCCCCAAGCACAGCAATGCAAAGCTGTCAAGGGTATCGGCCGGAAAATGAGCTATGCCCATCAGAGCAGCGATGGCCCGTGTGGTAACTCTTCATCAAATGTTCATGCAAATTGCATCGGTCGGCTTTCAAAAAGCCAACTCCAGTGCTGTCCATTCTCTGTACACCGGACCGGCCAGCTGTCGTCACTGTAGTCTGGCACAACTACTTGACTACGCCTCCTTCACTCAGCCTCAAAAGTACTTGTACTGGCACTCCTTGCCCGTCACAACCTTATGCCGAGCCTCCTCGTTGAAGACCTGGTCCACAGAGGTATGGATGTCGCACTCGATCTTGATGAAGAGTCGGACCCCCAGGGGCCCTGTGACCCACGCTCCGCCGCTGACCTGAAGAGTCAGCTTCAGCTCGTTCATCAAAACCTCATTGGTCATGGCCTGGAACAGGTGATAGTTGAGCCGAATCGTGGAGTTGGCTCCCACGATCCTTGTGGATTGCGGGGTCATCGTCATGGGCTGGCTGCGGGCATCACCGACGTTCTGGCCCCTGAAGAACACCTGGATGTCTCCCGGATCCGCCTCACCACCCAACAAGTTGGGATTGTGCACCTCAGCCTCGGCATAGAACTTCACCTCTGGGAAGGTGGTGTTTTCATCGCCCTGCATGCCGCCTGCAGCAAACATCACCAACTCCATCAACGCATCAGGCGTGACAACCTCCAGCTTCACAAGGTCCCAGCTCGGATCCCTGGGCCAAAACAAGAAGGACATCACCACTCCAGCTACCAGCGAGATGCTGCCGCAAGCAAGGCTAATCAAGCATCGCCGGCTCCGGCAACAGCGCCTTCTGGGCAGCGGCTTCTCACCGTTGTCTGCCTTCTTTGGTGATGCGTCGGGCCAGTCGACCACGACGCCTTCTATGGGACTGGTCACAGAACCTGCCTCCAAGTCCCCCGCCAAAGCCTTCTCACCCAGCAAGTTCTTCTCCCCCACGAAGGTCTTCTGACCCATGGGGGTCTCAAAGGGCTGCCCGTACTTCATCTCGGCGGTCTTTTCAACCATTGGAAGGCTGGGAAATGTGCGATTCGCTGGGGTTTGGGGATCTGATTCCTGAGGAAACTAGGCAGTGGACGCAGGTGGCACAAAGAGACAGCGCTGCAACTGCACAACGTTGCACAACCTTACACAACCAACCCAGGAAGCCAACCCAGGCCCCTACGTCTACATGCGCACCTGCTTGCATCACTCGCCCTCTGTGGCTGGCCCTGCCTATGTTGCACCTCGTGGCTCCAGGATGCACCTGGCGCATATTCACAGCAAAGATCATGCCCTTCAAAGCCCGCAAGAGCCCCCCCCCCAACGCGCGCTTGCCCTACATCAAATATTCTTGTTGGACCAACTCCGGATCAAATGAAGCGCAAAACGGACACGGGACCCAGAAACAGAAACCTCATGGGCTGGCTACCGCTGCGTCGTGCCATTTGTTCAAGACATGCTGGATTGGATCACGCCATGCCGCGGTTCTTCGCTCGACTACGCGAGAGGGCTGGGTGCCCACCGCAGAGAGCCTGATCACCTCTAAGGGGCAAAAAAGACCCTCCTTCAGGCTGATCTTCCTGCCTCCCTGATGCTATAGGCCGGTTGGCTCATTTCACTTCTTTGGCAAAACCGGTCCAAAAGCTCCGAGTCACCAATCTCGCAGTTCGCACTCCCCTTCTCAAATGCCCAGCCGGCCGTGCTCGCCAAGAACAGTCGCATAGCGTTTGCTAGGCTGTTGCGAGCTGCAGTTTCCAGGGGGTCTTACCCCTGTCCCACTGCTTGTCAAAACTCACATCCAAGCGCATAGGCCTTCAAGCAGCTTGGTCACCAGAAGGCATCCGAAATGCGAGCCAATTGCAGCTTCAAGCTGGGAAAACAGGTTCATTGCCACTAATTGCTTCATCGCCTTAATGCTTGTACTTGGTTGCTTTGACCCAGCAACATTACATTTCAAATGCCGATTTATACAGCGCCCTTTGCTCGATTGTCGAGCAAAGTATGCAGTCGATAAAATCCCCAAGCACAGCAATGCAAAGCTGTCAAGGGTATCGGCCGGAAAATGAGCTATGCCCATCAGAGCAGCGATGGCCCATGTGGTAACTCTTCATCAAATGTTCATGCAAATTGCATCGGTCGGCTTTCAAAAAGCCAACTCGAGTGCTGTCCATTCTCTGTACACCGGACAGTCTAGCACAACTACTTGACTGCGCCTCCTTCACTCAGCCTCAAAAGTACTTGTACTGGCACTCCTTGCCCGTCACAACCTTATGCCGAGCCTCCTCGTTGAAGACCTGGTCCACAGAGGTATGGATGTCGCACTCGATCTTGATGAAGAGTCGGACCCCCAGGGGCCCTGTGACCCACGCCCCGCCGCTGACCTGAAGAGTCAGCTTCAGCTCGTTCATCAAAACCTCATTGGTCATGGCCTGGAACAGGTGATAGTTGAGCCGAATCGTGGAGTTGGCTCCCACGATCCTTGTGGATTGCGGGGTCATCGTCATGGGCTGGCTGCGGGCATCACCGACGTTCTGGCCCCTGAAGAACACCTGGATGTCTCCCGGATCCGCCTCACCACCCAACAAGTTGGGATTGTGCACCTCAGCCTCGGCATAGAACTTCACCTCTGGGAAGGTGGTGTTTTCATCGCCCTGCATGCCGCCTGCAGCAAACATCACCAACTCCATCAACGCATCAGGCGTGACAACCTCCAGCTTCACAAGGTCCCAGCTCGGATCCCTGGGCCAAAACAAGAAGGACATCACCACTCCAGCTACCAGCGAGATGCTGCCGCAAGCAAGGCTAATCAAGCATCGCCGGCTCCGGCAACAGCGCCTTCTGGGCAGCGGCTTCTCACCGTTGTCTGCCTTCTTTGGTGATGCGTCGGGCCAGTCGACCACGACGCCTTCTATGGGACTGGTCACAGAACCTGCCTCCAAGTCCCCCGCCAAAGCCTTCTCACCCAGCAAGTTCTTCTCCCCCACGAAGGTCTTCTGACCCATGGGGGTCTCAAAGGGCTGCTCGGACTTCATCTCGGCGGTCTTTTCAACCATTGGAAGGCTGGGAAATGTGCGATTCGCTGGGGTTTGGGGATCTGATTCCTGAGGAAACTAGGCAGTGGACGCAGGTGGCACAAAGAGACAGCGCTGCAACTGCACAACGTTGCACAACCTTACACAACCAACCCAGGAAGCCAACCCAGGCCCCTACGTCTACATGCGCACCTGCTTGCATCACTCGCCCTCTGTGGCTGGCCCTGCCTACGTTGCACCTCGTGGCTCCAGGATGCACCTGGCGCATATTCACAGCAAAGATCATGCCCTTCAAAGCCCGCAAGAGCCCCCCCCCCAACGCGCGCTTGCCCTACATCAAATATTATTGTTGGACCAACTCCGGATCAAATGAAGCGCAAAACGGACACGGGACCCAGAAACAGAAACCTCATGGGCTGGCTACCGCTGCGTCGTCTCGCAGTTCGCACTCCCCTTCTCAAATGCCCAGCCAGCCGTGCTCGCCAAGAACAGTCGCATAGCGTTTGCTAGGCTGTTGCGAGCTGCAGTTTCCAGGGGGTCTTACCCCTGTCCCACTGCTTGTCAAAACTCACGTCCAAGCGCATAGGCCTTCAAGCAGCTTGGTCACCAGAAGGCATCCGAAATGCGAGCCAATTGCAGCTTCAAGCTGGGAAAACAGGTTCATTGCCACTAATTGCTTCATCGCCTTAATGCTTGTACTTGGTTGCTTTGACCCAGCAACATTACATTTCAAATGCCGATTTATACAGCGCCCTTTGCTCGATTGTCGAGCAAAGTATGCAGTCGATAAAATCCCCAAGCACAGCAATGCAAAGCTGCCAAGGGTATCGGCCGGAAAATGAGCTATGCCCATCAGAGCAGCGATGGCCCGTGTGGTAACTCTTCATCAAATGTTCATGCAAATTGCATCGGTCGGCTTTCAAAAAGCCAGCTCCAGTCTGTCCATTCAGGACAAGGACCGGCCGAGCTGTCGTCACTTGTAGTCTGGCACTACTTGACTACGCCTCCTTCACTCAGCCTCAAAAGTACTTGTACTGGCCTCCTTGCCCGTCCAACATATGCCGAGCCTCTCGTGGAAGACCTGGTCCACAGAGGTGTGGATGTCGCACTCGATCTTGATGAAGAGTCGGACCCCAGGGGCCCTGTGACCCACGCCCCGCCGCTGACCTGAAGACAGCTTCAACTGGATATCAAAACCTCATTGGTATGGCCTGGAACAGGTGATAGTTGAGCGAATCGTGAGGTTGGCTCCCGATCCTTGGCGTTGCGGGGTGTCGTCATGGGCTGTGCGGGCATCCTGCAGCAGTTGCAGCCCCCTGAAGAACACCTGGATGTCTCCCGGATCCGCCTCACCACCCAACAAGTTGGGATTGTGCACCTCAGCCTCGGCATAGAACTTCACCTCTGGGAAGGTGGTGTTTTCATCGCCCTGCATGCCGCCTGCAGCAAACATCACCAACTCCATCAACGCATCAGGCGTGACAACCTCCAGCTTCACAAGGTCCCAGCTCGGATCCCTGGGCCAAAACAAGAAGGACATCACCACTCCAGCTACCAGCGAGATGCTGCCGCAAGCAAGGCTAATCAAGCATCGCCGGCTCCGGCAACAGCGCCTTCTGGGCAGCGGCTTCTCACCGTTGTCTGCCTTCTTTGGTGATGCGTCGGGCCAGTCGACCACGACGCCTTCTATGGGACTGGTCACAAAACCTGCCTCCAAGTCCCCCGCCAAAGCCTTCTCACCCAGCAAGTTCTTCTCCCCCACGAAGGTCTTCTGACCCATGGGGGTCTCAAAGGGCTGCCCGTACTTCATCTCGGCGGTCTTTTCAACCATTGGAAGGCTGGGAAATGTGCGATTCGCTGGGGTTTGGGGATCTGATTCCTGAGGAAACTAGGCAGTGGACGCAGGTGGCACAAAGAGACAGCGCTGCAACTGCACAACGTTGCACAACCTTACACAACCAACCCAGGAAGCCAACCCAGGCCCCTACGTCTACATGCGCACCTGCTTGCATCACTCGCCCTCTGTGGCTGGCCCTGCCTATGTTGCACCTCGTGGCTCCAGGATGCACCTGGCGCATATTCACAGCAAAGATCATGCCCTTCAAAGCCCGCAAGAGCCCCCCCCCCCAACGCGCGCTTGCCCTACCATGGACCAACTAAGAGCAAAAAGGACACGGGACCCAGAAACAGAAACCTCATGGGCTCACTGAGGGTCTCCAAACAGGCTTCTGTTTTACAAATACCGGTTCAGTAAGAAACAACCACATCCATTTCTATGTTAATCCTGATGAAGTAGATGTTGCCTTTGCAAACGAGACATGGCTCGCAATGCAATGGTTCTGCACACGCCTTCGCCAGAACTTCACACATCCTGTACGTCCTGCTTCTGGAAGCGCACCGCACACCTAAGGGCGGATCTGAGCGACCGATTCCTCTGCGGCACTTTGCAAAAGCTGCGTCCCAACTCCCAACTCTCTCTGAATAGTTTGTGTTCGGCACGCGGGGCTTTGCTCTCCTCATTTTGACAAGCACATGCGCAACGCTTGCGAGAATCTCATTCCAAGTCCAAGCGTTTGCCAGGCTGTCGTTTTTGCCTCACTTGGCCAAAGGACCTAGAAATGAAAGGTTAACTTTTTGGAACCTTGGCTAAAGTTGGCTAAAGAGAGCAAAAGCGGATAAACAAAGTCAAAAGGTCGGCTTTGGACAACTGAGCTGCAGATTCCAAGGTCTTGTCCCTTCATCTGCATCAAAACTTGCTGTAAGTGCAGACGCAGGGACTCTCGTCCACTGGCTGCCTGCTGATAAAGGCTAAGGAGACAGCCGCAAATCTGAAGTATCCACATATGCAAGCCGGCTGACTGAGGTTCCTTCACATTTTACTCTGTAGCTTCATGTCCCCCGTGCCCATGCAGGACTGCTTAAATTTGGCCTGCCGCTCATTGTGGACCACGGCTTGCCTGCAGCCAGCTTGTGAAAATAAAGGCAGAACAAACGCCAAAGTCACTAGAAGGCCTAATTGGACTGATTGACCTAAGCTTGCGTCATCCGCACCTTAAAGCGCTGCAGCTTTGGCAGTGCCTCCTAACCTCTGGTGCCCATGCTCTGTGCAATGGACATGCGATTATTTGTCTAGCTGCTTCAGCTGCACCGCTAGGCCTCAGAGGTACTTGTATCGGCACGCCTTCCCCCGCAGAACCTTGTATCGAGCCTCCTCATTAAAGACCTCGTCCACTGAAACAAGGACATCACACTCAAGCTGGATGAAGAGTCGAACCCCAAAGGGCCCTGTGACCCACGCTCCACCTCTGACCTGAAGAGTCAGCTTCAGCTCGTTCACCACAGCTTCATGCATCAGGTCCTGGAACAGGTGATAGTTGAGAAGAATCGTGGAATTCACACCCACCATTCCCGTGGAGTGTGGGGACACCCAGGTCGGCTCGTTGCCAGCATACCCTATGCGCCTTCCCTTGAAGAACACCTGGATGTCTCCCGGATCCGCCTCACCACCCAACAAGTTGGGATTGTGCACCTCAGCCTCGGCATAGAACTTCACCTCTGGGAAGGTGGTGTTTTCATCGCCCTGCATGCCGCCTGCAGCAAACATCACCAACTCCATCAACGCATCAGGCGTGACAACCTCCAGCTTCACAAGGTCCCAGCTCGGATCCCTGGGCCAAAACAAGAAGGACATCACCACTCCAGCTACCAGCGAGATGCTGCCGCAAGCAAGGCTAATCAAGCATCGCCGGCTCCGGCAACAGCGCCTTCTGGGCAGCGGCTTCTCACCGTTGTCTGCCTTCTTTGGTGATGCGTCGGGCCAGTCGACCACGATGCCTTCTATGGGACTGGTCACAGAACCGGCCTCCAAGTCCCCCGCCGAAGCCCTCTGGCCCAAGCAGGCCTTCTGGTGCACAGAGGTCTCGAAGGGATTCTCACAAGTCTTCTCGGCAGTACGTTCGCCCATTGGAAGACTGGAAGGTGTGCGATTGGCTTCTGGTGTTTGGGAATCTGACCCCTGAGCGGGCAAACAGCCAGGCAATGACACACTTGCCAGCAAGTTTGAATCACCTTGCCTTGCAAGCTGCGGATCACTGGCTTGTCCTGTCATTTTGCTCCAAGTGATTGGCCTTGTGGGCACTTTTCCTGAGCTCTCAAAAACGGCTCTCGCCCGCCTAGCACACTGACTGGAGGTGAAGCACTCTCCCTCTAAGTTGCCTTACTAAGAAAAACACATCCTTCTTCAAATATGCCTTGCACAACTCCCTGACCCGCAATAAACAAAAACATACGGGCAACAGCTGGGGCTCTGCCTCGAGCCCACCCCTCTCGCAAAGCGCCGTACTTGTTCAAACCATTGGTCTCGCATGTCGCACCCAAACTCAGCACGCACATCTACGGCAGTGCCTTTCCAAGAACCACATGCAAAACTCCGTGGCTGAAACTATGACTATGACGTTATCAGCATGGGAATTGAAGATCCCTTGAGGCCAACCTTCCCGCTTGCTGTGTTGGACATCTAAACGCCAACATTGACATCTGGAGCAGAACCTCAGTTGGACTTGCTGTGGCTTGTAGACGCCCAACACTGTTTGCGTGCAACTACCTCGCAATTGCCAGACTGTTGCCGGACTGATGCGGATTCCAAGGATCTCTTCCGTGCGCATCTGCAAGAAGAAAGAAGCCAACTCATAACGTCCCTTGGACGTTTGGTGGCCGTAGACATGCGGGGCACCAAAGCACATGACTATGTCAACCAACGCTTGCTCAGTTTGCCATTGAAAAGCCCTAAAAACCTCTACGGCTCCAGTGCCCCGTTACGTCAAAGACTGCTTTCAAAGAAGCCACAGTCGATTGTCGACCACAGCGGAGAAGCCGTTGACTGTTCAGGACCCTAGCCCCAAACTCCGGAAGGCTTTGGCGACTGCGAGCCACCTGTGTTTTGAATGATGTGGTACTAGTCCTACACATCTGGTCGAGCCCAAGTCAAGCAACAAGAAAAGTGCTCTGCACACTAGACAGGCGGTCGGTAATCTGGCACAACTACTTGACTGTGCCTCCTTCACTCAGCCTCAAAAGTACTTGTACTGGCACTCCTTGCCCGTCACAACCTTGTGCCGAGCCTCCTCGTTGAAGACCTGGTCCACAGAGGTGTGGATGTCGCACTCGATCTTGATGAAGAGTCGGACCCCCAGGGGCCCTGTGACCCACGCCCCGCCGCTGACCTGAAGAGTCAGCTTCAGCTCGTTCATCAAAACCTCATTGGTCATGGCCTGGAACAGGTGATAGTTGAGCCGAATCGTGGAGTTGGCTCCCACGATCCTTGTGGATTGCGGGGTCATCGTCATGGGCTGGCTGCGGGCATCACCGACGTTCTGGCCCCTGAAGAACACCTGGATGTCTCCCGGATCCGCCTCACCACCCAACAAGTTGGGATTGTGCACCTCAGCCTCGGCATAGAACTTCACCTCTGGGAAGGTGGTGTTTTCATCGCCCTGCATGCCGCCTGCAGCAAACATCACCAACTCCATCAACGCATCAGGCGTGACAACCTCCAGCTTCACAAGGTCCCAGCTCGGATCCCTGGGCCAAAACAAGAAGGACATCACCACTCCAGCTACCAGCGAGATGCTGCCGCAAGCAAGGCTAATCAAGCATCGCCGGCTCCGGCAACAGCGCCTTCTGGGCAGCGGCTTCTCACCGTTGTCTGCCTTCTTTGGTGATGCATCGGGCCAGTCGACCACGACGCCTTCTATGGGACTGGTCACAGAACCTGCCTCCAAGTCCCCCGCCAAAGCCTTCTCACCCAGCAAGTTCTTCTCCCCCACGAAGGTCTTCTGACCCATGGGGGTCTCAAAGGGCTGCCCGTACTTCATCTCGGCGGTCTTTTCAACCATTGGAAGGCTGGGAGATGTGATGTTGGCTTCCAGTGTTCAAAAAGCTTGGCCCTTTGACCAAGGATATGGCAACGCCTGCGCGAGGCATAGTCAGGGTGCACTACCAGTCGAACGATTCCGCCTGCATTCACAAGTAGCTTTGCTGCAAGTGCAACACAAATGCCAATGGGAAGCATCCAAGGGTCCGGCTGGAGTACACCCAAGCAGAGCTGCATCCTGACTTTGCACAGCCATGTCTCACAGCATGCAGGTTGGGCAGCCAAACCCTGCACTCAAAAAGCGTCGCAAACATATAGATGCATATGATGCTTCATATTCGAGGCATTTGTTGCCTGGCAAACACAAGCACGCACAAGCCTCCTGAATCTGCTTCAAGACATCGGAGGCAGGGTCAGATCAGCCTTCTGCGGCACGTGCTACATGGCCACATGCAACAACTACTGATGAGCCCTTTACATGTCATTGCCCTGAGCCATGATTCAAGCGGTCTCACCAAATCAGACTGCGAGTGTGCAGCACTGTTTGCTTTGCTTGCTTTGTTTGTGTGTTCGTGCATTGCTTCATGGCCTCCAAAGGCAAACGAGTTGCGAGCAAGCCTTTTGCAAAAGTATTTCGTGCCAGGCGATATCCTGACCGGCGGCCAGTCGAACAGCTGAAACTGCTTTAAAAAAATCTGCAACATGCAAGCACTCGCGAGTCTGGCATTCAACCCTGACACGGTCACACACACCGCACAGCATTCAACAAATCACACAAGGACTTGTTGGTTGAAGAAATGTGTCATGAAGCGTGCTGCGCGCGATTCCATGCTTGAGACGTTGAAACCTTTGGTGGCGTCTAAAGGCATTCTGAAGCAATGGCCCCAGGAGCTCAGCTCGATTCTGGCTCTGGTGCCGCACTCATATGCCACAAAGTCTCCTTCACCAGGCGTATCTCAGCTCAGGCAAAGGGCTGCTTTGCGCAAGAAGCCTGCTCAAATATTTTCTAGCTTGCGGTTCGCGGGGGCGGTTCCATGGAGCTGCTAGGAACGCATGCCTGTCGCCTCCACTCCCCCTCACTTGCCGCAATAAGCTTGCGTATCTCGGCCTTTCACTCGGAAAAAGCAGAACCTGGGTCAGAAAAGAAGGTCCCACAAGATGAGCACCTAGCACTGTGCCATTTGCCTGGGCATCCTTTCGTCGTGGCTTTTTTGTCTTTACTCATATGCATTTTTGCTTTCCTTCGAGGGCTGCGAACAGCTTCAGGATACCTGGCACCTGGCAGGCTTTCACCCTTGACCTGCTGCCCAGCAGCGTCCCCACCATATGGGTGGCCAGCCGTAGGCGCTTCCATCTGAGAGCCAGCGTCTTCCCAAAGCGGTTGCAAAGACTTTCGACTAGCACCAACAGCCCATGACTTGTGAGAATTCAGGTCCCAAACTTTCTGGAAGTAGGGTGATAGCCCACTTGGCTCACGCAAACGTGCTCAAACCAGCGCATGCTCGCAACAAACCAAACGAAAGATCAGCCGACCAACTGCAAGAAGACAATGCTAAAATCCTTTCTTGGTGCTAGTAGGGAAAAGTGCAATGCTGGAAGGGATGGAGTTGAATCTGCATGCCAGCTGAAATGCGCAACATATCGCGTAGAGCCACAGTTACCTCTGCTTGGATCATGTAAGCTAAGTTTGCCTACTCCTGCATCTGTCACGAAGCCTCGACACAGGGGACGGTTTGGCAGGGCAGCGCCGTCTCAGCAGTGTCCTTGGTAAGCGGACTTTTGGCACAGGGGCAGCAGCTGGCGGGACAACCAGGCAGGATCAAAACCTAGTGCAAGCACGCAAGGTGTTTGGGCAAGATTGCACACCACTGTCATGTCATGGCTGCAAGATCCCCCCGGACAGGCAGGCGCTTGAGAATCATGTCAAGGAACCTGACATATGAGGTAATTCCCTATCCAAGAGGGCGCGTAGGGTTTGCCTCAAAAGCTGACCAAAAGAAGAGCTTCGCAGCTACTCCAATTCAGAATAGACAGACCTGTGCATGTATGGCGCAGCAGAACTGCAGCAAAGCTTCCAGGATCTCTTGAAAAGATACCTGCGCAAACACCGACTGCGAAGCTTTATGGGGAATCGTACCAGACCAAAACAAACTGGCAAGCGATACCGTCAGCAAGGATTGCCAACGCAAGGCTCAAGTTGACCCTGCCTAGCAATACTGAGATGCAAAAACCCTTTCGCGCACCCCCTCCCAATGCTTATAATGCAAGATTAGGGCTTGGTGTGACGGTGTGCAAATGTTCGCCGACCAGGTAGACAAGGTTCTGTCAAATGACCCCTGGAGCGCTACAAGCACCTCTGAGTGATTCGCACATGTTTTGATAATCGAAGTCCGAGTGAGTCACAATAGTAGTGCATGGCATTCTTAGTTCGGCGGCCTTGCATATGTATTAATTGGATTGTCCCCTACAAACAAACCTTCATCCACCCAGCTTTCATCGCGGCCCAAATTCTTCACAAACAGGGATTACCACGTTTTCCCTGCGGCATTGGATTTAGCATCCCTGCTCTGCCTTCACGGCTGCCATGGATGCCGACGTTGGTGCCGCCTCCGCCCACCGCTCCTTCGGCTCGGAACTTAATAGCCCGACCTCTGCTGGCATGGTACCGGATATTTGCTGCGAAACTGCTTCTCACACAGAGCCCATTCATATCCTCACAAACGACTCTTGCCAAACCCGCGTGGACTTTCAATTGCCCTAGCTCGTGCCTGTCAGGGCCTCTGCCTCTGCCTCCAGTGACGATCAACAAATCCAGAAGAAAACTCGAAAGACAAGGCACCAAGTACCACACGTTCCCGCCGCCGCTGAGCGGGCCCTTGTTCACTCCCTGCGCCAGAGAAACGCCCTGCAGCCACATGCTGCACTCTCCTGGCACGGCACGAAAGAATGCCGCGCGAAGAAATGCTGCAAAGGCACTGCAGTCCCGTTTTGGGCATTCACCAAAAACAATCCGAATGAAAAACTCGCCTACCAACTCGGCTCAACCATTGTGCAGTCAGGCATGCCACAGCATGAACCTCAACAGGCGTTGGCAGAGCAAGTTGAATGTAGGCTGACATCCCTGCCTGGAAGAGAATACATGGGTCGGAATGATGCAGCAGTTGGGCGTCCATTCGCCTGCATTTGGCTGGTCAGTTCGTCATTGAAGCTGAACATGCTTTGCTTCTCACTAACAAGTTCGGTACCATGCTGCGAGCCTCGATTGAAACTGCAACTACAAGTAACAAGTCATTGGCTCTCGATATGTTGCCGTATTGGAGATATAAAACCATGCTGTCTCTGCCAGGTCACGCAAGCTGTTCGCACAGCGATCCTTTCCTCCTCCTCACCTGGCAAGACAGGCTCAGGTGCCAAAAGGCAGAGCTTGTCGGACCTATGGACCTATTGGCTGTTCAACACAAATGATCAGAAGTTCCCCTCGCTCCTAACGCTCATCCAAAACGCAACTGGAAGGCACGCTTGGCACAAAGCTCACGCCACGGGGCGCCCCATCAAATTCCGACACAATCTCGACACGAAACATGTGGGGGCAACTCAGCTGCCTGGGCTGTAGCGACCATAGGTGAGGTACTGAGCACCGCGGTGCAAGGCATCTGCACCCGCCATGAGCTTGGCCTCGGGGCGCGAGGTGCATCATGCGTAGAAAGGTGAGCAACACGAGACATGTTGCCTGGGTTTCTCAGAAGCCTTCATGCTCAGTTGTTTGCCGAGAAAACCTTGGACATTGGCACCGTGGACCTGGAACAGCTGGGAACAATAAGTACTTGCCAAAGATGGCGAGTACTGGCAAGCAATGAGGCGTTCGGCACGCTGAAGCTTCGAGGTATACCAACCTCAATACAACGGGTACAATAGTTGTCCTTTTGACATGCTGCAAGAGAAAATCCCCTCATGTGCCTCTACATGACACACGGATCCTGAGCACCTCAACAAAGCATGTAAAAGAAGCATGATCAAAAGAGATTGCGTAGAACACAGCAGCAGCGTTGCAAAACACACAAATCACCAGCTTAACTTACTTTACGGAGCTTGCTATGGGATCCACTTTGCTGTGGTCGGTTGGTTTGGTGCGTTCAAGGCAGCAGGTTGAGTGACATGCGGGTCACAACTTGCACACGATCGGCATGATCTTCACATTCTAGCCCAAACCAGCCAGCTTGTGGGCAAGATCGCGTTCGCAAGCTGGCATACACCACGCGCTCGGGCAGCTAAGCTTTCGCCATAGTGCTGGCGCAAAGGCCTTTCCGCGCTGCGGAGTTCCTCGCGGTTCTCCGCTTGCAGCGCGCTGAAGCGCTTCGACTTCTGCGAGAATTGCACCTTTGTTGCTGAGGTGACAAATCGCGGCGTTGTGTCGGACTGCTTCGAACAGGTTCGCCGAGCTCTGTTCAACGGCTGCGTTGCTGTGTTCAGCACATGTCTTTAGCTATGGGCCTACGGCGGACACAATAACCTTCAAAGACAGGGAATTCCAGCAAGAACAATCCAAACACATTGACGGTTCAGCATTCGGCACCAGCACAGCAGCTTTCCTGTTCTACATTGGCAGGGCCGTTGTGTACCAACTCTTGCCTGCGCCCAAATCACAAGAAAGCCAATGTGGCCACTGGATGCAACAGTTTCAGATTAAACAACAAGCGGGCCAAAGGAGCATGTGGTTCGAAAGCCAGTTCCCGTATCATGACCTCGTCAGCTTTCCCACCTAGTCCAAGCAATCTACGTACGTTTTTACCTTGGGGTGTTTGCCGGGCATGAATTCATGCAGTCGAATGTAAACATGAAATGCATGGCATCGTCCACGTAAGGTTTTGGGCAACTGCTTGCGCATGCGCGTGCACATGGACTAGCCTTGTTGGCCAAACAATGCATGTCTTTGTCGCAAGCGTGTGTCCAAAGCCTTTGTCAGACCAGCTGCATCTGCTCGCGTGACTTCGTTGCCTCGGCAAACATGAACGACAGTCAGTCGGGGACTTCAAAAGGAGCAAGCAGCTGCCAGTCTGCCGTTCACTGCCTGCTCTTCAGATTTGGTCTGTTCGACCGCAAACAGCTTTGCTGTTTCCATGTAAGCTCGTTTCATGGCCAGCGGAGTCCGGCAAACGGGCGTGCCCACCTGGCTTTGTTTGAGAGCACCACTCCTCCCCACCTTGTTCTTGCAAGAGCCACCAGGGTGATTGCTTTCTTCTTTTGCCTACCTAAAAACAAAACACTTGCCTTCTGTCTCTCAGGCATCAAGTATGGTATCATTCCAGCAAAGGCAGCGAAGGTGGCTGCATCTCCTTTCCGTGTCCGCCTCTTAACCTGGGAGAAAGGGCCCCATCTGCCAGGCAACTATCACGTCTGCCTCAGCAGCTTGCAGCTTAGAGTTCTCAAATCCAAAAATACCTCAAAGCTAAGCGTGACAGTCTTGCTCACAGCTTGGACGCTTCTGGCGAAAGCTTTCGGATGGCTGCAAGGAAGTCACTGGATGGGCAAAGCGAGACAGGTTCAAAACAAATCGCTGCGCGCGGTACACTGTTGCTGTCAGTTCTGTTGGCGCATGGCAACTACTTACATGCTGGCAAAGCAAGCCTCAGCGAGCATTGGTGAATCTGAATATGCTCGCTTTCCTGCTAGTACTCCAGACTTGCATGGGCGCGGACTTGACCCCCTGTTGAACTTCGCTTATACTCGACGAGGCTCGGCTAGGCTACAACAATCTGGAAGCAAAATCCTGTTCTCAACTTATCTCAACATGCTGGCTTCCTTGGGAAGAATCGCCTGCCTTTCATTGAAGGCTCTGAAAGGAACTCCGACAAGTCTCTAGGAATCTGCCCCTTCAACCTAAAGACAGCAGAGACGCAAACAATGTCCAGCGTCCTCGAACTGACAAACTAAGAACGGTACCAACAGGACCCCAACCCGTCAACTTCTGCGCGGCTTCGTTCAAAGCGATCACCGGGCATTCGGGCAGGAAGGGGTCACCTCAGCATTCAGGAAGCATACGCTGTGACTGATCGGCAGCATCAAACCTTGCTATCATATGCAATACCAGGCAAGGTTTCACGATCAGGGAGATGTAATTTTGTCGGCACCTGCTGCAGCTGGCGCAGGCCAAAGGTTTATCAGCTCTGACAACCGGATGGACAACAGAATTGAGTCGAGCATGTTCTACAGCGATCCAGCAACTGCCGACCGCTTTCGTGACCTTAGAAAGCTGTATCGGCAGTGGCTAGTGAAAGCAAGTGAATCCCCTGGCTTCAATGATCAAACATGTTGGCTCCAGAAAATGGCTTGCAACCAATTAGAATAAAAAGCCAGGGTCACCCAATCCAACGTCAACGCGCAATGCATGTTTTATAGCACATCTTTACTGTTAAACAAAGCTGATTCCAAGTTGCATAAAAGGATGGCAAAGTCGTGCTTGTTCACTGCCTTTATCAACACCTCATCCAGGTTCTCCTTTCTGCACAGGATGTCCTCGGAGGATGCGAGCAAAACCCTTCAAGCTGAGAGCTGCGATCCCGTGACACAGGAATGCGAAGCAAGTACAGGCATCCAACATGCCAGGTCGATTCACAAACTCTGATTTGCCTTGTAGACTCGGAAGGAGCATTCCCAGAACAAAAACCGACAATCAAAGCCACTTCGAGCTGGCGCTTGCTAGTCCACGGCACCTGTACTTGGCCAAAACCTACCTGAGCACCCGTCTTTTGCAACCGGCCCCGTAGCCAGCATTGCAACCGTCACCTTGCAGCCCTCAGTCACCTTCAAGCATGCACGTCAGCACATGCTTGAACCTGAGGTGCGAGAACTCCGAAATCGTCGCACCCTCCCTCCTCAAACCCAACACAGAAAACAGTCATTCCAAGTCTCTGTCTGCTGAAAAGTGCCCGTCAGGTCCGCTGCCCAACGGCGAGACTCCTGGCTTCGAAGAGTGCAAGCAAGCTCTCTTTCCATGCGTTCTGAAAGCTTACTCTTGTCAGAAAGAATCAAAGCCGCAAATATGATCACAACCGGACATAGGCTGCAGCCTGTCAATTTTCTGGGTTGAGTTCAAGAACGTGCCGGCACAAACCGGTCCTTAACTTAACATGATTCACGTGATAATCTGAAGCAGTGAAATTCCCGTGACAAACAACGACAAAATCATGCATCCCAAAAAAGCGGGATACAGAACCCGCTAATGCGCGTAACCTTCAGAAGCCTGGGCATCCAAGGCTAGGCAAAAACCCGAAAACTCGACGTACTTGGCCCGTCCTTCTCCGCAATCCAAAAAACCTCCATGTTTGCTGCCGCAGCCTAACCAGCCAACACAGCACTGATTGCTCACAATGATTGTCCGCGCTGGTTAACAAAACCAGCAACAAACCAACACGACGACCACCACCACCACCAGCAGCAGCAGCAGCAACAGCAGCAGCAGCCGCAACAACAACAACAACAACAACAACAACAACAACAACAACAACAACAACAACAACAACAACAACAACAACAACAACAACAACAACAACAACAACAACAACAACAACAACCACAACAACCACAACAACCACCACAACCACCACAAACACCACAACCACCACAACATCGACAATAACCCACGACAACAAACAACCAACAACCAACAACCACAACAAGCAGCAAGCAACAAGCAACAAGCAACAAGCAACAAGCAACAACCACAACCAACAGCCAACAACCAACAGCCAACAACCAACAACCAACAACCACAACAAGCAACAAGCAACAAGCAACAACCAACAAGCAACAAACAGCAAACAACAAACAACGACAAACAACAAACAACCAACAACCAACAACCGACAACAACGACGACGACAACAACACCAACACCAACACCAACACCAACACCAGCACCAGCACCAGCACCAGCAACAGCAACAGCAACAGCAACAGCAACAGCAACAGCAACAGCAACAGCAACAGCAACAGCAACAGCAACAGCAACAGCAACAGCAACAGCAACAACAACAACAGCAACAACAACAACAACAACAACAACAACAACAACAACAACAACAACAACAACAACAACAACAACAACAACAACAACAACAACAACAACAACAACAAGAAAAAGAAAAAGAAAACAAACGGCAGTAACAGCAGCAGCAACAGCAGCAGCAACAGCATGTGATGTAATTACGCAGTGGTGCAGCCATCCAACGCTAGCTTCAATGTCTGCAGTGACAGCCAGTGTTGATAGAAACCACATCCCAGCGTCAAGTTATTGAAGGGGCGCGAAATCCACGCTTTTCACGAGTGTTCAATGGTTTCTCACCGCTTTTTACTAAGTTGCATGCCCCCCTTGAGTTTTGCTCATTGCCTGGCAAGTGGTTGCATGAGGTTTTGCGGTCCCAAGCCCTGCCTTCTCTTTCAGCTTTGCATCTGCCAAAAGCCACCACTCAGCGCAGCGGGACCCATATCTTAGATCCTTGCCCAAGTGGTGCTGCCATCCTTGCTCAGAAGCAAACTCATGAGGATCCTGGGCACCCTGAAAGGTTGGGAAGCTTGAGAGCCCAAAGCAGTGATTGGCTTGGGCTCTGGTTTCTCAAATTCTCTAATGCGATCGGCCACTCGTAGCCTTGCAGTCGAGTCATGCAAACACCCATGACTAGACATTACTATATGTATATATATACACATGCATACATACATAATGCATATGCCATCTATTCAACCTCAAACATGCAGCCACCAATAAAAGTACATTTCTTGGCCACGTCTTCTCAGAGCCAGCTCCTCTGCATTGCTGCCAAGCCTCCAACAACAAACCTAAGGCCACCGACAAGGACTGTGCGGATGCTAACACGCTTGATAAACTTCTCAGTGGGCGATGCCGACATCACCGTCTCAAAGTTTGTGTCGAAGGGATACCCATAGGCCTGGCACGTGGCATAGGCTGGGAAGCAATGGAAACTGCATCGGAAAAAATTGGAGCTGGTCTCGTGGTCCGCTTCAACAGCAGGCGTGCAGCAGCCATTTTACTCATATTGCACTCCCAATTTCCTGATGTTGCTCCTTGCTGAGATACAGGTGCTCAAAGAATATGCTTTGAGCTTGGCTCCAGCAGGGTCACCGAACACGCATCGTACAGCTACACTGTGCAAAATCATTCAAAGGTAATTAGAGTGTTGCTTGAAGACTTCTTGCCAATCCTTGTAAGGAATTGAATTGCGAGAAATCTCATCAGAACGCACACCGCGCTTCAAAAACTGGACCTCGCTTTTATTGCAAAGAGCATCAAAAGCGAGAAACAAATCGGAGGAAGGCTACTGGTTTCTTTGCCTTT